GAAAGGGCATGGGAGATCAGGGAGACAAGAAGGATCACGGGTCTTGCTAGGTAGCAACGGTTAAAGGGCAACGTCTCCTGACATTGTGAGGGACGAAATCGAGGCAGGTGTGTGTAATATGGAAAACCAAGTAGAGAGCGGCTCCCACGTTGCAGGCCTAGGGTTCTGAAGCAGGGAAACCTCCATGGTGTGCTGCTGGGGTGGGGAGTGGGGGGGTGGGGGTGGGCGGGGAGGAGGTGCCATGAGCGCAGTCTTAGTAAATGTGGCCCCAGTGCACAGTAACTGACACTTCGCAAGAACTTGGCAAATGTTTAATGAAGAAACGAACACGCGAACTTGGAGCAGACCTGGGATGCCGAGTCCACAGGAAACATTGTCTGGAGGCTGGAATACAAACTGGGAGGTGGAGATTGACATTGCCCACCCCGCACCCCACCCCAGCACCCACTGGGCACAGCAAGAAAAAATGAGGACATTGAAGGAGCAATCAGAGAGGTAGGAGAACAAAGACAACTAGTATTTCAGAATCTTGGAATTTGGAAAAGTTTGGTGGCATCATCAAATGCCACAGAAATCACTTTGTGGTCACTGGGAGGTGTTTGGCGAGCCGGGCACAAGGACACCGAGTTTTCTGATCTGTTGGCAGGGGAGGGTTAGCAGCGTGTGGCAACGGAATGCATCAGGAAGTGTTTGTCCAGGGCCAAGAGCGGGACCCACCCTGCAAGCTCCGGCTCTGACCCCGCCTGGAAGAATGAGCCAGCTGAGTGGTGAACCTGAGATCAGAGGAGACTGGGAGTTAACTGGGGTTTTGGAAACCAAGAGAAAGTTTAAATATCCTTTGAAAGAACGTCCTCTCGATCTGCATAGACTTAAGGGTTGTGTTTGAATTACAGTGGGGCCTTGACTTACGAGTGTCCCGACTAACAAGTTTTTCGAAATATGAGCCGTCTCTCGGCCGATTTTTTGCTTTGAGTTGCGAGCTAAAATTCGGGTTATGAGCCAGTTTCAGATACCCCACCGCTAGTTGGCGCAGCAAACGTCACAGTGAACGCCACAACATCAGCCCAGCATCACGTGTCTCACTCGTTCACTTTTTGATTTGACATACGAGTAATTTGAGTTACGAGCTCCGTCACAGAACGAATTAAACTCATAAGTCAAGGCCCCACTGTACTTTTAAAGTGAAAAAGTCAACATGTGCTGCCATTAAACAATTAAGAAAAGGATAGCAAATGAGTTGCAAGCTATTGGGGTGGACTGTGAAGCTTATCTCGGCATTATTTTATTTGATTTGATTTGGCTTTCATGAACAATCTATCGCACTCCCACTGTGAGCGCTGTGGGTGGAGGAGGGGGTGTTGAGGGGTGGAGGTGGGGGTGCTGCTGTGCACAGCAGGGTTCACTGAGCCTGGCCCTGTGTGGTGGGATAATCGAGCAGGTCTGAGGCAGGTGGGGTCCAGGACGGGGCTCTCGATCCTCTGAGTTTGCTGGGAGAACTGGGTCGCCATCTTCTCCATGCAGCTACCGAATGTCCGATGGGAGTGATCCGGGTCCTGCGAAGAGGCTGCAACATGCTGGGAAGAGCGGGCTTCGCCACATCGGGTAACTGTGTGACCAGCTCCTCTGCAAGGTCTGGCACAGAATGTGTGTAAGGTTCTCCGTTGGGTTTCAAGTAAAAACCAGAAGGCAGCTTGGGCTCCTGTGCAGAGTAGCGGAGTCCCAGCAAGGCCATCAGCCCATGTCTAAGGCTTCGAGGTGCTGGGCCGTGCAAGTTGTGTGGCATAAAGCACAGAGCTTCAGTCCCCTTTAAACTCATTGACTTCCTGTAACGTTTGCAGCTTCCTAAGGGCTTTTTCTTTAGTGGACCATGAGAATGAGGCATGGGTCCTGCTGGCATTTGTCTAGTAGCCTGGTTACAGCTCCTTCATGTGATAAAGGAGGGCTCCGAATTCTGGGCCTGCACCCCCTGGCAGCCCCACACAGCATGGATGTGGTGTTCTGCTCCCTCAAAAGCTGCCCCAACTTTGTCAGAAGGAGCCAGCCGTGTGGAAGCACTGTGACAGCATGGTGCATAGAGCTCCTCCCATCCCAGGGCCCTGGCTATGCCGAGATACTGTTAAAATCCAAATTGCCAGAGAGCTTAGCACATAGATACATTGCTCAGGTCTAAATGCATGTCTGTAGGTGGTGCTGGTAGGGATGCAAGCAAGGTGTGTGTTCAATAAAACCCACAGGCTTCCTTTTTCTTATTCTGTGAAGGTCCTTTAAACTATCTGAAGGTCCGAGTGCCACTGGGTTTGTCAGAAAATCCTAAAATACGAAGAGGAGGGTTGGGTAGGGTTCTGGGGTCAAGGCCTTTTGTGATAAAGGCCTAGCAACAAACTCACCAATACGTGACCAGGTGACGTGGCACAAGGTGGATTGTTGGCCTGAGAACTTGAATTAGGCTAATTGAGAAAGGGAGGTGGAAGGACCTTTCAAACTAGTAACCATAGGAAGTCCTTGAAACTAACTCCTCACAGGCCCCTTAGAAAATTCACTGAAATGGAATAGAATGTTCATTCCATATCTATAGACATTTCTGGAGAATACCACCACCCACCGCCTCCACGTCATCCTCTTAATCTTCACTGCTTTGGAAAATTTAGGATCTTGAAAATTCCTGGAACAAATAATCTGATTACATCTTTGGTGTTACAAAGTTTTTCATAGACTACACACTAGGGCAGTGATGGCGAACCTTTTGAGCTCGGCGTGTCAGCATTTTGGAAAACCCTAACTTAACTCTGGTGCTGTGTCACATATAGAAATTTTTTGATATTTGCAACCATAGTAAAACAAAGGTTTATATTTTTGATATTTATTTTATATATTTAAATGCTATTTAACAAAGAAAAATCAACCACAAAAATGAGTTTGGGCGTCAACTCTGACACGTGTGTCATAGGTTCGCCATCACTACACTAGGGCAAAGCAGCTCATTTAAAGCATGCCATTTTGGAAGAACTTGTCAAATTCCTCCAGGAATATTACAGATGTGAGCTAAACTTATTGAAGGAGCTACGTCCTGCCAAGCTGTTCACTTTGGGATCGGCTATGGGAGGAGCATGAGAGAAATTCCGGGGGAACCACTCCAGGAGATGGGACAATTACCTTTGTAGACATCAGGTGCATTTATTTTAAGAACTGCTTTTTCAGTCGTAGCCTTCAAGCTCTTTGGTGAACCCTCAATGTGAGGGATGGCTTTCTCCTACACATCTCACAATGCTGCACGTTATTTGCTGAATCATCAGTTACGCTGCTGGGCTGCGCATGCTCTTTTCTTGCACTAGACTAGCATTCATGATGACCCAGCTTCCCCGGAAATCAGCCTCCTCCCACCCCAAAATCTCGGGTGGATCATTGCCATTGCCCTATTAACACCAACATCGAAGTCAGTAATCCACCCGGAGAAGTCAAACCGTGAATCATAGATACATACCAAAATTCAAAGTCTAGCAATGCGCATCCTTGATCAGCTCCCACTGTGTCTAGAATTATACTGGCAGAAAAGGAGTCTACATGAAACGAAAGGTTTTTGCTGTAAGCATTCGCTTCCTTAAACAACGATCCGCCTGATCTATTTCTCTTTGTATGTACCTAACAAACATAAATATGTCAAGAAGAAAAGTGACCAAGAAATGAGGCTGGTGTGAGAAGAAATCGCTGATTATGAAGGTCGTCAGATTCTCTGTGATACACAGGCCGGGGGCCACAGCCGCCACCTCTGCGGGGCCTTCGTCCGCAGCTGTTATTTGTGCTGTAGTGATTGTCCGGCCGCGGGGACGGCCCAGTGACCAGCAATCACTGGAATGAAGGGGTCGGGGGAAGCGAGGGGGCTGTGGAGCACAACCAAGGGTTACAAGCAGATTTCTGCACAAATAACAACTCCAACATAACCGTTTCAAGAAGAGCACCCGACTGAGACCAGCTTTCCGAACAAATGACTCATCAGAAGGAACTGGGGTGCTTGCTGGAGCGGACCAAAGGTTTATTCGGAATGACACAGCACTGAGAACATTATCGTTACAGATGATCTGCGAATACAGCATACATCACCTAGCTTACTGTAGGACAATCTGTGAAGATGAGCCGCATAAATATAAGGAGGTGGGAATACAGAGGTGCTTATTTGTAAGTTCTTTTGGGGTGGGTTTCTAGGCCCCGTCATCTAGCCAATCTCTTAAAGGCAGAAGTTAGGAAGTTCGCTGCTCATCCCCACCAGCCTGCCTCCAGCCACAGCAGCCGGACACGTAGAGAATCAGACGCTGCTTTCTCCAAAGGGACAGCACCCCGAAAAATGCACGTTACGAACACAGATACTGTCGACTGTTTTGGCAATGGGGTGGCTGGTGTTGTTCTGAGGCAAAACTGCAACTGCAACGCCAGACAGAATAAGAGCAATGCATGTATCAATGACACTGGAGAGGCAAAGGGCTACAATGGAAAGAAAGCAACTATGCGTATGTCCTCTGGTGCATACACATAGATCCAGGAGTGATGGGAACTAGCTCGTGCACTGTGTCCATATATACGTATATATATATGGAGAGAGAGAGAGAGAGAGAGAGAGAGAGAGAGAGAGAGAGAGAGAGAGAGAGAGAGAGAGAGAGAGGAAGTGTGTTGGAAAAGAACACTGAAAACTTTTGCAGCACTTTCGTTTTAAACACAGTAAACTTGTAAGAGAGAGAGAGGAGTGTGCGCACGTGGGCACACCTGCCCTGGGGAGTGAAACAACCTGTCCTACAGGATAGTTCAGCACGTCTTCTGCAGGGCAGCCACTCCATACCACACACTTGGTACCAAGAGTTAAGGTTCTGGTCTGGAGAAAGCTACTTTAGAATCGGTGGGAGGGGGTCAAGTACAAGAGTCTCCACAGCTCGGACACAGCACAAACAAACTTGTTCTGAATAACATGGGAACCAGTGAGGACTTCCTCCTTCATTTGCTTTTTTTTTTTCTTACACTTTTTTTTTTTTTTTGCACACATGCTCCATTGATATATCCTTCCAACCTGTATCTGGCATCAGTCTGCAAGTCACAAGAGTGTAATAGCAAAAGTGAATTCTTCAGGTTTTCATGAAGGTTTAGAAACCTCAAAACCAGGGTCTTCCTACAACCCCCTGGGCCCTACTCCAGGCGCTGGGTGAAGTTCTCTGGGAAGAGGCCTTTGTAGGTGGCGAGGTCTCTGTACTGGAGCCAGTCTGATTCCTTCACTCCCACCAGCCAGCCCGCATCCTGCAAGACAAAGACAGGGCTTTCAAGGTCCGAGCGCTGGGAAAGCCTGCACGGCCAGCCATTAGACAAAGTACTTTGTGTAGTTAGTGCTGTGGCTCCGCACCAACATGTTAGGTTACATGTAAACTGCTGTGCTGAGGTCCGTGGGAAGGCTGACTGAAGGTTGATATTAATATTATAATTTTTTAAAATATATTTTATTGATTTTTTTACAGAGAGGAAGGGAGAGGAATAGAGAGTTAGAAACATCGATGAGAGAGAAATATCGATCAGCTGCCTCCTGCACACCCCCCACTGGGGATGTGCCCGCAAACCAAGGTACATGCCTTTGACTGGAATCAAACCTGGGACCCTTCAGTCCGCAGGCCGACGCTCTATCCACTGAGCAAAACCAGTCAGGGCTTATAATTTTGTATAAACTATAGTTAATTGATGGCAACTGGATTATGACTTGAGTTAAGGAAAAGAAAAGGGTTAGAATTACAGCCAGCAAAGTTCAGCCAGTGTGGCTCAGTGGTTGAGCATCGACCTATGAACCAAGAGGTCACTCTTCATTGACCTATGAACCAGGAGATTCCCAGTCAGGGCACATGCCTGGGTTGTGGGCTCGATCCCCAGTAGGGGGCATACAGGAGGCGGCCGATCAATGATCTCTGTCATCATTGATGTTTCTGTCCTTATTTCTCTCTCCTTCCCTCTCTGAAATCAGTTAAATATATACATATTTTTTAAAAGAATGATAGCCAGCACGGAGAGGGACACATGTGAAAGGATGTCACGCACAGGAACACTTCTTGCCCTGTGAGTCACAGTGAAAAAAAGGCTGGAGGACCCCTGGGTTAGAATACAGTGCTGACAAGGCCATCAGAGTTCTTGTATTTCATCCTGAACCACTTGCTAATAACAAACAACTCTGTTATTCTCTCACCTCACATCATGCAACCTAAATAAACCACACATACCGGGCTTATCAAATAATAACGGCTAGGTATGTTGCCTGATGTTACTGTTCTGTTATTGTTGCTGTTATAATATCTATATTTTGAAGTTCATATAAAGTACAAAGCAGTCTGTTGTCATGATATTCTTGTTGGGAACATTCGTATATTCTTTATAAATTACTGCTTATAAGCATGTATCTATTTTATGGAACTGCAGACATTTAGTCAAAGAAAGGTAAAATAACCCATCCGTGTGGGCATACGGCATGGGAGATGACGTGTAGAACTGAGGAACGGAGGCGGCCGTCTGTCCTTGGCCTATGAAGATAAGCAGATCCTACTTGGGAAAAGCTGAGCTGAAGGAACAACATGAACATACAGACCATACAGAGCAAAGCTAGCGGGGAATGACTATCTTTATTATGTTAACCAACACACGAAAGAGATCCCTCTTAAGATGAAGGATGGCCAGATTTAATCTGAACCAATTCCCAATGAAGTTCAAGTACATCAGATAAATGGGAACTCAAAAATTAAAGAAGCTGAATACATTCTCTTGTGATATAATCTGAGACTATAAATTGATGCTTCTATAGAGAAGAAATATAAGCATTTAGACAGGCCAATTTCTGAAGGCAGAAATAATAACAGTGGGAAAATTTGACAATAAAATAACTGATAATATCCTAGGTGATGACAAAAATTATTCTCTTTAAAATTATGATGTTATATGTGTGAAGGACAAAGTTATACATAAAGTAAAAGATGATACCTAAATATTTTCTTTCTATTTTATTTTTAATTAAATTTATTGGGTAAGCATACAAAAGGCCACGTCTCCCCCGCAAGTGTCTATATTTTATATTTGACTTTATTTACAATGAGTGAAAAATCTACTGGTGCCAAGCAGAGTCAAGCACTTTAAAACTGTTTCAACAAAGAACAAAAGTAAAGGACTGGCACAAACCTATAATCAAGATATCTGTAATACTCCCAATAAAAATAAATGCAATAAAAAGATATATTGCAAGACATATACCTGATATAAAATTTATGTAGTAAATTGAACTATTATTAGCCAGTATCAATCTTTAGCTGAGGTAAATAGAAAAGTTAAATTTTAGCTATTTAAAATATGTGGTAGACTAAGAATTTCCAGTTTTGCTAATGGTAAAATAGCTTGTTGCAGACAAATGCTTCTGCACAGAGCAATTATAAGCACTAGAAAAACTATATATTTTTATAGACCTAATATACGTATGTATAAATATATGCAACTATTTTAATATAGAAATGACTATTTGTTACAGAATATATAGTATAAAATATAAGTTTATATAATGGGCTTGTTATAAATAAAGGGGTTGTACTTATATAACAACCATTTGAAGGCACTGAGAGTCACCAAAAGCAGGCAGAAATCAGAGACGGTTTAATTCTTCAAAGTAGGGTGCTGCGCGGGTGGGACTGTGCTGGTACAGCCTTCCCCTGAGAGTTCTCCTCAGTCTGTGTGATGCAGGGCATTCAGGGATAGAGTTAAGGGCTGTCTGAGCAGCTGTACTTTTATGGGGGATATCTTGAAGAAAAAAAAAAAGAGAGAGAGAGAGAGAGAGAGATACATGGAAAGTCCCCGAATACACGGAGAAGCTTCTATGAAATCCTAAGCTGCCCCCAAACTATGAATGCATAAGGGGGATGCCCGAGGAGCCTGGGGAAAGCAGGAAGGCTGGAAAAGATGAGCAGAGATTCAAAGGAGTGGCCGGGAGACAGAGTTTAGAGTTCAAACGCCATCAAGTTAGGGGGCTTGATAAACCTGTCAGGATTTCTATTGAAATTCCAGATGGGGCATGTCTTAGAGGTAGAGACAATGGCCCAGGACTAAGAATTTATCCTAAGAGTATGGCAAACATGAAACAGACCCACTCCAACGAAGTGATTAAAAGAAACTTCCATGGATTCAAGGTAATTATCCAGTGGCTTGAATGCCTGCTGGAAGAAGTAATTTTCAGAGATAGAAAACAGAATCCAGACTCAATAATGAATTACCCACTGTAAGAAAATTTCCACAGGTGAGAAAAACAGGAAAATGTGACTTACTGACAAAAGTCAACCAATAGAAATGTGTCCTGGGATGGCCTAGCTTTTGGAATAGGCAGTGAGGAATTTAAGGCGGTCATAACAAATATAGTCATGTACTTAAATTAAAAGATGGTAATAATGAGAATAGATAGGAAATCTCAGTAAAGAAATGAAAACTATATAACAGAACAACATAGACATTATGGAACTATGTAGATAATATCCTAAATAAAAAAGTCACAGGACAACCTTAAAAACAAATTCAAAGTAGTGCAAAAAAGGGTCACTGTACTATCAAACAGAGTACCAGAGAGAAGAAAACACTGAACAAAAAAGAATAGTCTTAGACATAAAAAGTCCAACATATGTATAATTGTTTCTTAGAGAAAAAGAGAAGAAAGGAAAAAAGTGAGAAATAACAGCTGAAAATCTTTCAAATGTAGTGGAAAATAATCAGGTACAAGTCCAAGGAGCTCAGTGAACCTCAAGCAAGAAAAGTATGAAAAAACAAGACCTAAGCACTTTATAGTTGAAATGATGAAAACAGGATGCGGAGACGTTCTTAAAATCAGTCAGGGAAATGTAATGACTGCTTTAAATTCCTCACTGCTAATTCCAAAAGCTAGACCGTCCCAGGACACATTTCTATTGATTAACTTTAACCAGTTAGTTACGTTGTCCTGTTTTTCACAATATTAGTTGTGTAGAGACTGGAAAACAACGGAACACTATTTTAAAAGAGTGTCTGCATTTCCTGAAGACTGAATTTCAGAGAGACATCCCTAAAAAATGGATACATAATAAGAAATGGTCATCTATGTGTACGAAAAATAAACAATGTAATAGGTAATAGCATCCCAAACCTAAATTTTGTGATGTACTGTGGTCATAAGCCCTTACATCCTCTTCAGCATCTCAGAAAATGCAAACAACTTCAGGAAGTCACTATGCCCAACTGAACCTTAGGAAAAAACCAACAGAGCTTCCAGCACTTTCCAATCTCATCCTTTACCTGGTCAGCTTCCGAATCGGAGGGCACCACCAACACCACGTCACCCCTTTGTAAGGTAAGTTCATCAGAATTTGCTGCCTCGAAATCGTGCAGTGCTTCCACCTGCAAGGTTGTAAAAGAACTGACTACTGTTAGGAAGAAAACAGAGGTCAGGTCAAGCTCTCCCCGTCAGATGGTCCCCAGGCATCTCAATAGCATCTCCAAGCTGATAACAATGAAGACTGTATCTCCCCAAGGGAGGAGAAGGCTCCTGAAGGCAGAAAGGAAATCCTCTCCTTTACTCAATACGTCCTACTCTTACAGACTGAAACCAAGGCCCCTGGGCGCATATTTAGTAATGCAATACTTTCTGCTAGAGCCGAAATGCCGTGCATTAATTAAAGTTTAATGCTTCATAATTTTGCTAGAGATTTGCATGTAATTATCACAGATGCTTTATTATTGTTTTTGAACTAAAAATGCCTAGCTGAATGTTCCTCTAACCACAGCTTCTGTCGCACTGGGAAAACCATCGATTGCATGTTATAATGAAATCAGGATTTAATCAAATCCTGTGCCCAATCTCCTGTAAATGAACTTCCTTCTTTCCCTGTCCTACCTTTTAAACATGATAACCTATTTCTAGTTTCCTTTTTTGAAAGATTTCTTTAAACTTTAAGTATAGGAAAGTTTTAAAAAGTAGAATAGTAAAATGAGCCCCATTATGCAGCTTCAATAACGATCTATAATCACACCCAGGTTTATTTTTCCCGTGTCCCTCTCCTCAACCCTACCGATGATATTAAATAATCAGCTCTTAAAATGTGCTGTTTGCATGTAGAATCATAAAATGTCAGAGCTGGAAATTTCTATCTTATCCCCAAATTCATTTTTCTGATGAGAATACTGACACCCAGAGAGAGGGGTTACGTGGTCAGTGAGGAGGTTGGAGGGCCCAGCCGGGCCCGGCCTCCAGGGGCAGCCTGCAGCCTGATTCCTTGTCCTCTGACACAAAACACAGTGGGACACAGGCCTTCACCTGCCACAGGCTTAGTGTTGTCTTCGCATAATTCATTCCTAAATGCATTCTACCCACCCCGTCCCCACAGGAGGTAGCAACGTAGCAACAGTCACTGCCCAAGAAGCAGAGAGAAGAAAAAGATCACGACTCGTCAATCCCACCCCCACAAACAAAAATTTAATACTTCTGAAAAGACAAAGAGCTGAAATTTGACATGTAAAATCAAACGATGGGACTTATAATTCCCAACAATGTTCTATTACGGAGGATGAGCTGCCTTTCACACGTGGTTGAAGCCTGTGTTTCTCGGTGTCTGCTGAGTTGGTTCTTGTAAGGACCCTTCAGTGTACGAAGGCTCTATGTGACCACTCGATGGCCTTTCTGAGCAAGACCTTCTGCCCACAAATTCTGGCCTCTTTTCTCTCTTCCTTTTCATAGAAGCCCATTAACATATTTATCCACTTTCTTTTAAAATAGTCATTGGCTCCCTGCTCTGTGTCCTGCACTGTAACCAGGTGCCAGAGCTGAATGGGTGATTCCTGTTTCCTGCCCTTGGAGGTGTGATAATCCAGCTGGGAGCAGGTGAGCCCAGCACGGGAGGCCCCCACAGAGCTCTGTGGGAGCAGAGGGCACTCAGGTGGAAGGCATGCACCCAGCACTACCAAGGGGCACAGCGTTTAACTCTCCTTTGCTAAAAATGGAAAGACATCACTGTAGGCCCCCTGCCCGCAGCACAGAAATCCTGCCATTGCAATGTGATGTTGGGAGGGAGGGGAAAGCAGTGCAGAAAAGGAGTCTGTGTGGCAAAAAAAAGTAAACGTAAAAATCGGGAAACCAAAGGCGTGAGCAGAAGGGCCTCAAAGCAAAGGAAGGACAAATGGCCGCCCGATTTAAAAAACGAAGAATGGAAAGACCTTGTAGAGGAAGCCGGGAGGCACGTCCTGAGAGGCGTGGCTCGCAGGCGGAGCGGAGGGCTCGGGCTGGGAGTCCTCAGGGGCCTTCTGCTCAGCAGCCGGCTCGGGCACCTCACTGGGGGGGCCTGGAAGGGCCGAGTCTTGAGTCGCCTCCTGGGACTCTGCACCTGTCATGATTTCGTGTGCTCCCTCCTCTTCGTTGTTGGAAGCGGGCTCTATGATGACCGCAGGGATGACCTTCTCCTGGGGAAAGAAAAATGTGGTGGTCCTTCGGAAACACTCTTCCTGCCACACCCTCCGTGGCTCCCAGGTTCCCCACCTCCCTCATTCCCCAAACCCAATGTAGGCTTTCTGGCCCTTGGGCCTTCTGCCTTGCAGGACCTTCCTCCCTTCTCTCTCTCCTGAGAGAGATACCCTTTGTGGGATGAATTTCTGGATCCTTGAACAATCACCCAGTTTGGAGTGAGGTTTCTGTGTAAACTGGGAGGAGGGATAGGAGACTGCAGGGAGGGGGCGGAGTCATGGCGGGTGGAGGAGACAGTCCTGGAAGGAAATGCTGTGGGACTCCAAGGAGGGGCTCATTCTTGCCCTGGCCCATTTGCTCCTCTCCCAGAGTCCCATGGGACTCCCAGAGAGCCCGAAACCACACTGTCGGTAAAGATGTGGCCCCTGCTTGCTGATTATGGTCAGAGCCACACCCCAGTCACAGTTTCCGGAATCATGACTCCCGCCAACCACTCCAACACTCTATTGTCAGGGACAGTAGACCAAAGGATCAAGACCTCCCCCTTATGTTTTGACAAAGGTGAGAGCAAGGAGGGAGAGGGAGACTTAACTCACATAAGGAAAGTCTAGAGATATTGCTGGCTTTTCAGATTAATAATAATAATAATATAAGTTCTATATTCCCTCAGGCGTCAGTGGGCAAAAGCACTTCCATTCTTCAGTTTGGAGAATAAAATACACTCTTTCAACATGTATAACAATATGTACAAAAGTATTCCTGGCACAGTGACAAGGAAATATTACAATGAATAGAATTGAGTTCTTTCTCCAAACACCAATGCTACTTGCTGGGTTTCTAGTGGGAGGAAAGGGGCAATTCAGCTTCAAACTTCGAGTAACCCTGGAGAGACTTCTGGAAACTTGCTCTGAGTAAAATAATCAGAGAAATGGAAAGCATGCATGAAGCCCACTCTCCATGGTTAACCTTCTAGAAAGTAGAGGATCCCAGCACGGGGGTTGGGAGAGCTGTGCTTGCTCCGGCCCCTGGGCTTGAGGCTCCACAGTCTCGGCTTAGGTGGCTGTGCTGCCTTTGAGCACTTGTCTGAGAAAGCCAGACCTGGGCGAAGCCCAGCTTCACGTATGTGTCCAAAGGCTCACATGACCCATTTTCCTTTTGAAAGTGCAACATAAGGATGGGCTTTTGGTAAAAGAAGCCTAATTTGGGGTGAATTTGGAGGTACTGTAATAATAATCACCACCACAAAGTAATAATCATAGCAACATGATTGAAGTATTAATATTGGGTTCTCAGCATGTGGTTGGCACCAGGCTAAGCACTTTCTGGCCATTTTCTCCCATAATCCACACAGCCACCCCATTATTCTAGTCTATTCCCTTTCTCCTGCCTCCATTCTCATCCGTTTTGTCGTCTGTGCTTCATTTTTTTCTCCATCACTTTACTGCATAGTCTCCTTTACCTCTATCTGTGCTTAATTTCAGCCCAGTCACCGTAGCCCTGGGGGCTTGCGTGGAACCCCAGAATACTGACACTGAGAAAATGGTGTGACCACTCTTTCTGAGAATTTCCATCCCTTCCCTCCCCCCTCCCCCGGCCCCCGCGGAGCAGCATGCCACAAAATGGCTACAAACCTATTCACATCCAAGAGTTATGGCCATTAACCAATAGACAGAGCATGCCAACGGGCACATCCCCAGCACCCCGTCACCAGGCACTCACCGGAGGCGCCGCCGCTTCCGTTTCCTCTGGTTGACCTCTGTCACTGTCTGCAACCTCTGCAGCTTCTGTATCAGCCTTGGGCTCCTCTAAACTTGCTCCTTCCCCAGCAGGGAGCACGGCCTCCGGCTCCTTCTCTGCTTCCACTGCTGGGGCGCCCTCTGCTGCCGGCACGGAGGTTGCATCAGTCAGGTCAGCATCAGTTCCAGGTAGGATCTGCAAACCAGAACCAACAGGAGGGGTCTTTCTCCAGGGCCGCGGTAAGAGTCAGCTCTGTCTCTTCTCTCCCCTCGGCTGAGGCTCATCAGGTTTCGAAGCTTTCTTTATAGTCTACGGAGGCCTAGGAGTTAGAGACAGCAAGCAGACTGCCATCTGTTTGTCAAAACTCCAACTCCTCTTTTTTTTAAAATATAATTTTATTGATTTCAGAGAGGAAGGGAGAGGGAGAGAAAGACAGAAACATCCATGATGAGAGAGAATCATTGCTTGGCTGCCTCCTGCACGCCCCCTACTGGGGATCAAGCCCCACAACTCGGGCATGTGCTCTTGACTGGAATCGAACCTGGGACCCTTCAGTCCACAGGCTGAAGCTCTATCCACTGAGCTAAACCAGCGAGGGCAAACCTCATGTTCTTAGAAATTTACTTCCTTCTTTTATGAGAATTTCTCATTATGAGAATTTGGCTCTCCAAAGTGTACAATGATTCAAAGCAGAGTCACTAGCCACTGTGTAGCATTTATTTCTCTTTTTCTACCCTGTCATTAAAGTACATAGGTTTCCGAAAAGTAATCCTTTCTCCTGAATTGAGGCATACTTATTTGAAGTGAATTACAAATGTTGACAATTTTTGAAGTGGGATAACAGATTTATATTTGGTGGATGGCTGAACATTTCCATAAAGACATTTATGTAAGAGAATTGCACCCCTTGTTTTAAAGAAACATTGGCCTTTTAATGGAGGTGATTGTGGCCGTCGAACATAAATTAGGAGGGTTTCTCGATTCCAAGAATACTGAACAATTCCATGTAGTTTTATTGTTGGAGAAATGAACAAGCTTCTTCAGGACCCTGAGGACCTCCCCACGTTTCTTCACACCGGAATCTATACCTAAAGACTGCACACGCAATGGCTTACCGTGGGCTTAAATGCAAAGAGCAAGCTGTGCTGCCACAATTCTAAGTTATTTGTGATTTCTGTCTGTCTGGAAAATCACACTATGGAGTGTCCAGCCCACCGGTTTCCACAGCTTCACACCAGACGGACTCTATGTACATGCAGACAGTGTGAACTGACAGTGAGTACCACCACGTGCACACATGCGCACATACATGTTGCCACAGATCTGAAAGCAGCCACCATCACATCTGATAGGCTATTCCTCCAAGTGGTTATACATAAATCCTTCCATACATATATGTTCCGAGCACATACAACTAGTAATTGGATTTTATTCTCAACTGAACTGATATAGCTTCAGAGAGAATATATTTCTGTGAAGCATTGGTGGTGTTCTCAAAGGTAATTTTCTAACCCTCTCCATACGAATAGAATGTTAACCACGAATTCCTTACTTATCCCTAGGGCTCTATACACCTATCAACTTGACACTAACAAATTTCACTATCATAAGATACACATGTTATCTTTCCTTTGGTAAATGGTTTAAACAGGCTTCCTTGGCTGGATTTGATATAGACTTGACAGCATGGCTGCTGTGATGCCAGCCACCAGCAGGTGGAGGCCAAGTGCACGGTCTCTCTGTGCTCTGACTTTCCTTGACCTCATCGGAGCCAATTGTAGGTCAGCAATTGACCTGATATCTCTCTCTCTCTCTCTCTCTCTCTCTCTCTCTCTCTCTCTCTCTCTCTCTCTCACACACACACACACACACACACACACACACACACACACACACACACACACACACTCACTCACTCACAGGCATAGACCATGTGGAAAACAGTTGATAAGAATGACGGCAAATCAAAATCACCAAAATATTGGTATTAACAATGCTGATAGAGTCAGGGTGCCAAGGAAACTGCCACTTGACTAGGGAGAGGAAAAGGCAAACAATTTGAATGACCTACTTAGGGAAGGGAAGAAATTAACAGTCCTCCATGCTTCTCTGAGTCCATGAGTGATGACTTCTGATTTCTCTAGTCAGATTTTACAGAGCCTATAGACCCCTGCAGAAAGAGAGGTGTGCCCACTGCCTAGATCCCCTCCCTCTTTCTGCCTCTGGCTTTGCTCTGATAATCAGTGGTGCCCAATTCTCCCTTTATGTCTGGGATCTGTGCCACATTTTCTGCTCTTACCAACGTATTTCCACAGCATATTTACTGACTGCAATAACAGAACAACATTAAAATACAATGGTACACAAGAATCCTTTTGCTCAGATTAAGTGTTAACGATAGATAAAATCAAGGCAAGGTTGAAAAAGTTTTCAGTAATAGGGTTATTCCTCTTTTATTATATTTATGCATTCCAACTTGTTAGCTACTTGTAGATTTAGAAAAGAAAAACATTTTCTAGACTTTCCTTGCTACCGTAGATGTTACACCTGCTAGGAAAAAAAAACCATAATGATTAATGACTATTTTTTTTAATGTATTATCCAGGGAGAACAGGGGACTGAAACCACTCAAAGTATTTCAAGCCTTTGTTATTCGATGTTATTATATTTTCCTCTTCACTCCAAATGTTAAGGGATGCACCATTATCTTATCTTCTGCCAAAACTATACTATCTGTTGGCCAAATATATTTATAGTGGAAAACATTTAATATAAAGATGAATTTAAAAAATTTCTAGCTGCCCTTAGGCACATGTTGTTTACCTGTGTGCCCAAGTCCCGGACTATTGCCAATGTGCACCTTAATCACACAGAAACCACAAGGGTCAACAGGGGACCCATCTTTGAGATGGTGAGCGGTTCTCACTTTCTCACTCAGATCTGACTGCTTCACTACTCGGCTCCAACAGCCTCCTTGGTGGGAAGTGATAGGGTTATGGCAATCCTGTCAGAATCCTTTTAAACACCTCGCTGCATTAGAAGTTTTTCTGGAAGTGGAATGAAATTGATGCAATGCAACAATGGCCTCAGCAGCCTGCAAAGCAGGGAACACAACTTGCTGACAGAAACACAAGCAGTCAGTCCCTCAGGAGATGGTGTCATGAAAGCAAGTCAACGAGGATGAGACTCCCAACAAGTAGGAGTGGGGACTGGCTGCAGGAGAGGCTGTAATCTCTGGGATCTGTTTAATTGATTGCTTTATTTTACTTCTTCATTGTGTTACTTCCTTGGCAATATGACCTCTGAACAATGCCTGAAAAGCAGCTTGCCACTCATGTCACTGGTCTAGATGACAACTGCAGAGAGTCCCTAGTATGAAATTCCATACTTTTCTATAGGGCAGGTTATTTTAACTGAAAATAGGTCTTTTCTCTGATTAAAAAATAATGATGTCATTGGTTTAAAAATAAAAGAAATAATTTAATGTTAAGATTTTGAGGTATTTATTTTTATTCATTTCTATGCACACAGGGGCTTTATTTGTCTATTTAATTTGCAACATGTAGATGATGTTTCATAGAAAAATTCTATCAATAGCTATATAACACTTTATTTCCTTTTCTATTTAACAGGTTATTTAACAGTTCTCCTGTAATTGAACTGGTTGGTTTCCAGTTCTTAGAACTGTTACAAACACTGTGAGAAAAATCTTGGTTTGTAACCATATTTACAACAATTTTATGAGCTATACACTTAAATAATTTAACTAGCCCTGGCCTGTGTGGCTCAGTCAATTGAGCATCATCCCATGCACGTGAAGGTCACCAGTTTGATTCCTGGTCAGGACCATGCCCAGGTTATGAGTTCGATCCCCAGTAGGGGGTGTGCAGGAGGCAACTAATGATGTTTCTCTCTCTCTCCCTCCCTCCTTTTCTTTCTCTCATTCAAAATAAATCATTTAAATACTAAACATGCTCCCCCTTTTTTTGTGATGTCCTCCATAAGGACTTTCGGGGAAGGGTTGCCCATATTTTTATTATGGAAAAAAGTCAACAGTGAGAAAAATTTAAAGGATCATAGAGTACACATCCAAGTACCCAGCACCTAGGATCCCCAACTGACATGTTGCTACATTTGTTTCATCACATCTTCCCATCTGTCCACACTGACTTTTTTTTAAAATCCTCACCCGAGGATACTTTTCCATTAATTTTTAGAGAGAGTGGAAGAGAGAGGGAAAGACAGAGAGAAATATCGATGTGAAACACATCGATTGGTTGCTTCCTGCATGAGACCGACCAGGGCCTGGGTCAGGGAGGAGCCTGCAACCAAGGTACGTACCCTTGACTGGAATTGAACCCAGGACCCTATGGTCCACAGGCCAATACTCTACACTGAGCCAAACCAGCTAGGGCCACACTGATTTTGATTCATCATTCAGTCAATCATGATACATCTTCAAAAAACGATTTTCAGGAGTTCTATGGATGCTATATACCTTAAATATTGGTAATGTTTCCCTGCTGCTTTCAAACATGATTGACTACTGCCTTTAGAATTGTTAAAATGTGTTTTTTTGCACTAAAAATCTGTATGTCCTTCTGACAGCTTCTGACGTTTAGTATTGGGAAGGACAGGTCTGAGGCCTAATTACTGTTGTTTTGTAGTGCATTTTCTCCACAATCTATATGTCTGCAGGACTTCTTTTGCAAGCGTCAAATTTACAAATTTTAAAGGCTAACATTTAGGTGCGAGTCCCTCATGAATTTTGCCCTTTTTTGGTGATTCTCAGGATCTGCATGCAGGGTTTCCTTCAGCCAGGGAGGTCCAGCTGGAGCACGGGCCACTGTGCTTCCACTCCCGCCCCCACAGCTTCTCCGCAGGAGCAGTAACTACCCAGGAGCCGTGTCCTCAGTCTCCGGCCTCCCACCCACCTCCTCTGCGTGTGCTTCTCCTCTCCGTGTTGGGTGAGCTCCTCCAGTTTATCCTCATAGCATGGCTCACCACACGGCTGCCGCTGGGTTACCACCTGTAGGCAAATTTTATTTCCAATCTGTCATCACCGAGACCCCTTCTCATCTACCTCATGGGCAACTCTTTTCATCTTATCTCATTGAGGTTGCCTTACCTCATCTTTCATTTCTTGTTTCAAATAATCAAGGTCCTCTTGAATTTTGCTGATAACAAAAGGAAGA